ATAGATAGATAGATAGATAGATAGATAGATAGATAGATAGATAGATAGATAGATAGATAGATAGATAGTTCTCCAAATTTGTTCCAATTTATCAATTAATATGTAGCTGCCTGAGAGTTACAATCCTTAATATTTATAGTTGAAAAACCCAGAGTCTGTGTTTGGGTACAAGAACCACAAACCAAAGAGGGACTATAGAGGAAAAAACAATTCTGTGATGTGATGAACGTTTATGCTTTCTACAGTGGCATTTTACAGAATCTTTCCCCCAGTGTGAGGCACATAAAGAGACGCAGAGCGATGGCAGGCAGAAAGTGACAGAGAGCTGTATGACACAGCAGCCCCATTGAGTTAAAGTGGCTGTGTGGCTAAATGATGTCATTGGCTAACTAGGCGTTCTCAGGCCATTGCCTCTGTTTGCGTGACTAAATACATACAATTAAGGCCTCGGCACTTCTCAATCTCTGTGAACTCATTGTTATCCCCGGGTTCAAGTGCACTGATAATGGGGGCCAGAGGAAAACAGGCATAGCAGCGAGAGAGAGAGACGGAGAGCTGGTGGGTAAAATAGACATCTCATTATTAGTGGCATTCTCTTTCAGCCCGTCAGCGCTACTAAAGCCTCGTTCAGTGTTCACTAATCTGTCCCTTTTCAGCTGATTTTCTTTCCTTCCTGTAGCTCTCCCTTTGTCTCCCTTTCTATACTTCTTTACATATTTCTATCTTTCTCTTAGTTCCTGTCTGTCTCTCACCAACGTCTCCCTTTGTTTAGTCGTGCCATGAATGCAGTCATTTTAAGGGTTTTCCCGTGCAGTCTGACTCTGTTTATTGTGGCCTGAATTCATTTTTAAAAGTTTCAAGGGACGGATGGATTGACATACAGAATATCGGCTACCAATTTGACTTCACCGGATTCATCGTATTCCAGTTTTTAGTTTCTGTTTCTGTTGGCTTGGGATTGAAGAGCAGCTGCAACAACTTTTCTCCACAGTTTTGAAAACAAGAACATGCACACAAAGTACAACATCATTTACAAAGAAAATAAGTAACCCTCTCTTTTGCCTGTCTAGAGAAGTGGAGGTCACAGT